AAATGAGAGGAAATCATCTGGGATTCTTACACAAGGAGACAGCCAATACCTGCCTTGCAAGGACACATCTCTTTTCCACCCAAACCCACATCCCTGCGCTCAAGGTGTCATTGCTTAGCAAAACCCAGCTGAAATTCAGTGCCAGTCTTCCGCCCCAAAGCACCAAACTTGGCCAGTTATAACTTCAGAATTATAACTTCCTTGCAGCTGTTGGAGTTTTATCTTCAACACAGAAAATCCTGCTGCTAAGAAAGAAAGAGCATAGAGGTGTCACCAGCTATTTCTGTCCTAGCTGCATGGTGAAAATCATAATTTCTCTCCACCTCCAGACCCCTTTTCTCTGGCGTCCCTCAAGCTCCTTCCCTGCCTTGGTCCTGCAGAACCTCCTGTGCCCATCTGGAGGGGAGCAGTGTGCACTGAGCAGGCAGCAGCATGCCGGGGCACCTGGCTCACCCCTGCTGCACTACCTCGCCCAGCTGTGCGGCACATGGATGCTGTCACTGCTGGGGAGGGTACGCCTCGACGGAAGGGATGCAGTGCTCCCAAGGAGTGGACACGATGTGAAGAGCCTGCTCTGGTGCCTGGGGCCAGGGCCATCCTTTCGGTGGCAATAGCAGGCGGCAGCGTTGACGTTTGTCGGGGTTTGCTGTATAGGCACAGCAGCTTTCCAGCGGGAGGTGAGTGGGCAGTTAAGTTCACCCATGCATTTATTACATGTTGTCTTGATTATTGTGAAATGTTTATGTCCAAATGTAAACCCATTGCCATTAGCATCAGAGTAGCTCATTCAAGGAACAGTTCAAATCAAAATGCTTCACTCCTCCTCTCTACCTCCCTCTGTGGGATGAGGCCCCAGGGCATCCTGACACCAGGTGCCTTCAGCTGCCAGCCTGAGTGCCAGCATCCTCGCTGCGGGGAGGGGACAGGGATCTCTCAGCAGGCAGCCTCAAAACCCTGGGGCTTCCCCCAAAAAAGAGCCAGCAGGCTCGGTCACCAGCCCCCCTCCCAAGGCACTGCATGGTGGAGTGAGAAGCCCTGTCCACAGCCCGTGGCCAGGTCACCCCGCCGGCAGGGCTCAGGGACGAGGGAGGTGTCTCTCCCCCTCAGTACACACTGTGGAGTGCAGATGCAAGGTGCTCAAATAACACAGTGATGAGAATTGCTTAGGAACAGCAGAAGGACAGGCAAAGCTAGATAAGACAAAATATAAATCTAACTCTCTGCCTGGCTCTGTACAAACTAAACCATCATCATCCTCTTTACCACTGTTCCATCACATATGTGCTGCCATGCTCACTTGCGCGGAAAAGGAACATCTTTTGTATGGTGCTATTCAGTCTAGTTTGACATTTTGTTTCGCAGATGCAGCCACAGAGCAATGTTAGCCTATTGTGAAGGCTTATTTAGACAGGTACAATTACAGCTCGGCAGTGAAGGTGCCTTTGATCCCGGCATCCCCATTGTTCCTGAGGCTTTTCATCCCACCCAGTACCCAGCTAGAAGGCCTGTGGCTGAGACCTGCCTTTGAAGTTGTTTCTTTTCCATTGCCCTTTAATTTTCATGGTGTCTTCTTCCGCTGATGAACATTATTAATGAAGGCTCTGGCATTCGGTTGTGCTCAAAACACTGATGCCTGGCAAGAGTCTGACCTTCCCCAGCTGTGCAGCAGCCATCTGCAGGAAGAGGGCAAGCAGTGGGCCCCGGGCAGTCTGTGCAGCTCCAGCAGAAGAGAATCGCCTTGTGCATCCCGCTGTGTGTGGTGCCCACAGGGAAGGACCCGATCCCAGCTGCTCATCCTTTTCCAAAGCACGTCACTGCAGTGCAGGTTCATGTGTCAGCAGCTCCCGGCTTCCTGCCACCCAAAATCTCCAACACAGGACTTTGCTCCTGGGGAAAATGAGGTCTTTCAGATCAGAATTACGTCAAGATGAGTGGGAGAGGGACAGAGTGATTTCTAGATGCGGGGAAATTCTAGGAGCAGCCATGTGGCCAGTGACCAGTTCTATAGGGTGGCTTGGGATTTTAGTGTTTGGATAAGGAATTAGATGCCAATTGCCTTTAGTTTTGAGGAAAGAGTCTCTGTATGCAAGTTGGGGTGGTCACTGGTGATTGAGAAGCACAGAAACTGATGCCGTTTGCTTTATTTTGCATTTAGCATGTTATTGCGAGACCAAGGAGGAAAGCTGACTGGAGATAGTGTTCACTATGTACTGAGAGTTCAAAAGACAGGCCAGAGAGAGGGAAGGCAAAGGAATCCGCCAAGAGCTATTAAACACAAGCCCACTATGACACAGACCTTTGTGGCATGAGAGAGCATGCAAGGGAGGCACTCCTGTATGCATGTAGGCATTTCATCTGCTACAGGCCACTGTCAGAGACAGGATGATGCATGAGGCAGATCCTTTTGACCGATAGGGATTTTATTCTGTCAGACGGGAGGAAGTATGACTGGACCAACGTAGGCAAATTCCAGGCAACAATTGCAGTGTAATTGCAAGAACTGCAGACACAAAACTCACTCGTTACAAGAGTTGTCCAAGAACTAATGACCCAAGGCATCAGGAAGCAACGCTCTCCAGTAAAAACTGGGAAAGCCACATTCAGTTCAGACAGAACCTTGTCAACATTTCTGAATGCACCAAAGGATTTGCCCAGAGCTACCAGCTTCTTGGAGCCTTAATTGCCCTCATTGAAGTTGTGCTAAGTTCAGTAGACAACTCTTTCTAATTAAGTGCTAACTCTTTCAGATGCTGAGTCAAAACACATCTTGACTTTGCCTTTCTCCTATCTTAGCTTCGATAATTGGCTTGCACAAAAATAATTGTCTTGCTAGATGCGAACCCATGGCTCGCCTGACCCCTTCAGCATAACACCAGAGACCTTCCTCCGTTAAGCAGGAGTGGATTTACTGACAGCACTGAAAACTGGCAGGGCAAAAGAAGCAGTCTTGCCTTTGCCTCTGGGCTGGGATCATTCGTTCCAACGCAAGACAAAACCTGCTTCCTTACAGGGTACCCTTCGCCCTGAGCCACCCGTACCCCCTCTCCTGGTACACTGGTACCCCAACAACCCAGCTCCAGAAGGACACATGCCTGGCAGTGCTCAGGGACTTTTTGCCTGAAAACCTTGTAGAGAGGAGGGATACAGCCAGCTCTCCACTCTACGTGACATTTATTCATCTCTTAGTTTTAACACAGGAGATTATCTGGAATTAAAAGCTACCTCTGCTCTCACAGGTGAGAAAGCACTGCTTGGCACAGAGACATCCATTATGGAGCTAGGATAAGCAGTTGCCTTGGACCTCTTTCTTATTATAGCCATACAATTGCACTTGGTTTTGAGCCTCTTGCTGTGTTTTTCTATGAAACTACTGTGAGGCCAGGGCATCTCCTTTCCTCTTCTTTATTTGATCATAAACATCGTCACCCATCTGGATGAACCTATACCCAGTGATGTGTTTCCCTGTAAAACACTGAAAATCAAGGAATTCCTAAGATATTGTTCATACCCAATGTGAAGAGTCCAACTTCAGCAGGCTGCCATCTGACCCACTGGTGCATCTGGCAGTGGGCAAAAAAATCATACTCAAAGTGGCATTGCTTTTAGGGACAAAAATGGAGATTGTGATTAAGTGGGTGTTCTGCAGTGCACGCTCAGGGTGAAGTCAGTTGCTAGAAGCTTGTTAAAATAGCACAGGTAATGGCGGCAGGACCTCAGCAGTCTCTAATCTTTTTTAGCGTTGCCAAAACCAGGAGAATTCAGTGAGATAAAGTGTAAAAGTCTGGAACGTATTTAGTAAATAAAAAGTGACCCCAGAGGAAGTCAAACAGAATAACAGTTCAATTTTTCAATTACCTGAACAGTCTCACAACATTCATCCTGGGTGCCGAATACCAGCTCTGTACGCTGTGAAGAATTTCCTTGCTGAATTAGTGTCAAGTGCTGCTCTTAATGCCAGTTTATTTCTAGCCACACTTGATACCATGAACAAACACCCGTTCTCACCCATGTAATGTAATAGGGAAAGTTACACAAGCAGGCGAAGGTTTAGGATGTGTTTTCTTCTGGATACATAATTAGAAATAGCTTTAAAGGAAAAGTGGCTCAAGATTTTGTAATAAAACCAATTTTCTGAGAAATTGAACAGTATTTATGGCATGCTGTGTGTTACCTTCCTGCTTTGCAGGCTCCAAAAAAAACCCAACAACTTTTTTTGAAACATTTAACAATGAAATGCAGACTTAAATATGTCCAATATTACATTTTCATGTTATTCTTCATTCTTCTTTTCTTTCTCTTCATTAACTGAAAGAAATTATTGATGTCAGGGTAGGGGGAAATTGGGCACTTCCTTTTAAAAACATTTTATTTTCTTTTCCCTAATTCTGGAAAAATTACCAAGTGGAAAAAAAATATGCCAGACTGCCTCTTGTTCTGTGGCACAGAGTGAAGGGAAGAGAGAACAAGGGAAAAGATTATGTAGAAGATTTCAAAATTCGAGATGTAGAATGCTCATCTTGAGGAAAATCTTGGGAAAAAATCAAAAAACAAAAGGAAAGATAACCAAAATACTTCTGCATAGAAAATAACATTATTTACTGAGGTGAAAAGTGAATGAAAACATTTTTGTCCAGAGGCTCTGAATTGGAAGGGACGTTCAGAAATCAGGCACAGCGCACTCCAGCTCTCTGCTGTAAGTCTCGGCTTATCCACCCCTGGGAGACGTGGGCAGCCGCGGGCATTGCAGGTGTCCTCCGCCTGTAGCCTTTCTGCTGATGAACATAAACCTCGCCGCTTTCCCCATAAATATGAAATGTTCTTTGTGAAGCGGTGCCGAGGTCTTGGCGGGAAGGCTGCCTCACTGCAGCACGTGTGGGGATGCTGCTCTCACGCTTGCCAAAACGAGTGCCCATGCCTAGCACCTCGGTGCTGCCCAGACAATCCCCTCCCAGCGCTGCTGCAGCTTCTTTTCTTTTCTTTTCTTTCTGTGTGCTCCCCAGTTCGAGTGAGGGCTTTGGCGTACCGGAGAAGATCGTGCTGCTCACCTTCATCTCTGCCGTTATACTGATGGCCATCCTGGGGAACCTGCTGGTGATGGTGGCCGTGTGCCGGGACAGGCAGCTCAGGTGAGCCCACCCAGCTGGCCACTGCCTGCCCTTCTGCAGGGAGGCACAGGGGAAAATCCCTGCCAAAAAAACCCATGCCTGCAGCCAAGGGCATAAACCGCTGCAATGACGGATGTCTCTTGCCATACATTGCATCACGGGGATGTCAGACTCTCACACTGGCCTCTGTGCATCCCCACTTGGATTTACACCGTGGCGGTGGGATCATTTTAGTATCCATCCTCTACATTTTTAGCACTCCCGATGTCAAAAAAACAGATAAATCTGTGAAAACCAGAGCTAAGCAGCAATTCTTTGGAGAAGCAGGTTGGCCTCTACCCCTTTTCCATCTCAAATTTCCTAACAAGCCCCTCAGAAAACCATGCAGATCAAGGTCCTCTTGCAGTTGTGCTGCACTCCCACAGCTTGGCAAATGCTGCCAGTGATGTGGGGGGGTCACAGGCAAAACTCCTGTCTCGAGGCTTGCAGCTACCCCTGGGAGTTGTCAGACCAGCCTCAGGAGCAGAGTGAGAAATTCAACAGCCTCTATTTATATTCTGCGTGGGATTTTTAATGGATTTAATTCTGTTTTATTGTTATGATTTTAAAAGTACTCTTCAAGTTAAAATTACAGCTTCAGTCTAGATTCCTCTCAGTGCTTTCTGGAAGGATTTTCTCAATTTACAAGTTAAAACAAAATCCCCCTCTTCCACCCCAAACTCTCCAATGCAAGCAGTGAGGCTGAACCACATGCAGAGGCCTGTGAGCATCTATTTGCCTCTTCTGTATGAGCAGAAAGACGTGTTCATGCGGAGAACACAGTGGATATGTAGCTGTAGAAACCAGGAACGAGCTAGACGTGACCATATAAAGTGAGGAGTGCATTAGAGAGGACCTTTCAGTGTGATGGAGCAAAGTAGACCCAATCACAAGCTGAAATCTCTGTCCACATGTTGAGGATGCTGCACTGAAACTATTCCACCCTAATTTTGTGATCTGTCTTGCAGGAAAATCAAGACCAATTATTTCATTGTTTCCCTTGCCTTTGCGGACCTGCTGGTGTCAGTGCTGGTGATGCCGTTTGGAGCCATTGAGTTGGTTCAGGACAACTGGATCTATGGAGAGATGTTCTGCCTGGTCCGAACGTCCCTCGATGTCCTGCTCACCACAGCGTCAATCCTGCACCTGTGCTGTATCTCGCTGGACAGGTATGAACAGAAGAGCATAGAAAATAATTATAGTTGCTTTAAGTTTCTTTGGTGTTGTTGCCTGTCAGCAGTAGCCAAAGCGCAAATATGAACCTGCTGGGAACCACAGAGCAATAAATCTCTCTCAGTAGGTGATTTTGGAGAGATCTGTCTGAATCCTCATCAGTGTAGAAAAACTTTGAAAGGAGTGAGATTTATATCGATAGAGCAAGCCAGCTTCTCAGCTGCTCTGCAGTGCAGCACTGTTTGCATTACTGATTGGATGTGGCACAGTTTCTCCTTTCAAGTAAAGACAAGACACCTTAAAGGTGTACCCAGAGGAAAGGCCTGCAGCTGTCACAGACGGAGGTGCATCGTGCACAGCGTGTTGTTTTAGCAGGGACCTTGCTCTCTGTTACAATGTCAGGCGTTGCTTGCTCGCTGCCAGGGGCTGCAGGGGAGGCTTGGCTAGTGCAAGGCTTGATGTGTTGTGCTGAGCCCCGTCTTCCCAGGGACTGAAACACTAAATTATCTGCCTTTCTCTCTCTTGTAAAAAAAATATGTGACATATCTTTCAAGTGCTATCAGAACTGCTCTTCCTGCTGCTAGCAGCCATACAGGCAGATGAAGACCAATGCTACTAAATGACGCATTTTGGCATATATTACTAGATCACATGGAGAAAGAGCAAAAAGAGAAACCCCTCCCCCATATTTTATGGGCTGTTTTTCTAAAGCATCCATTTGTACATCTCCACTAGTGACTGCTAACAAGGAGGCAAATAAAGCTGGTGAAAAAGGTGCATAGGCTTTGTGGGAGATCCTAAAAACTTTCTTTTCTTTCAAACTTTTCTTGCAAAATTAAAATGAAGCCAAAATCCTAAATAATTTATGGCAAACAATTGTTTTACTGTTGTCTGCAGTTTTTCAGGGTAAATGGCAGAACTTTCCATACAGAATCGCAAGAATTTGTCACAGGATAAATACTTAGAAGAAAACATTTTGACCAGCTATTCTAATAAGCAATATTTAGAGCTTTCATTTGAGTTCTGTGCAGAGATTTCAATACTTTTAAAAATACTATTACTTAGTATTACTAATATGGCCAAAATAATGACATCATCATCGTGACAATTGATACATAAATAGCATCTTTCATCCAAAGAGTCTGTACCCAGCCAGACTTCAAAAGATACGTGATTAATGTCTCCATTGATGGGCAGCACTCCTTTTTTGCATGAGAGCGGGGCACCGGCACATGCAGTATTGTATCCAGGGAGAAGCTGATGTGCACAGCTACAGCGCATTTCCTTATCTGGAAGTTTAAATGGCTGGAACACAAATAGGAAGCTCATTATCTTAAAAATGCTGACAAATTGCCACTTTGAGCCAATTACCAGTAAAGCAGATGTTAGGCACTGCGCTCTGGATGTGGCCTTGTTATATAAAATGTTGGGATTTGATTCTTCAGGCTCTTAATTAAACATGGGGGTCATGTAGAGAAGGGGACAGGAAGGGAAAGTATTGTTTTCCCCCCTCCCCTTCACCCCCTGATCTCTGACACCCGCAGAGGATGGGGACCCCCCATATGGCGTACACAGGAGGGCAACTCCCCCCTTTCTCCTGCCTATGCCACCCTTTGCCATGTTATGAGCTCTTGCTCCTGCTGTCTGTCCCCGTCAGTCCCATGCTTCTGGGACAGCCTCACCTGGGGGTGGCAAAGGGGTTGAGGGCAGCCTTGGGACTATGGCTGTCAAAATGCGTGGCTCAGAGTTAATTTTTTAGGAATCCAGAACAGAGATCACAGTTTTGTACAGGAAGTTTTCTTTATGTAAACAGACCTGAGGCAGAGTTTGCAAACACCCAGCTTGGTAGAAGGAACTGGAAATGGAAAAAAAAACCCAACAAACAAAACTCCCGTAAAACGAGATGGATTAGATTATTCTGTACTAAATGAAACATTAAGAGCAGAGTGTGAACACCTGGAGAGGACTACAGCTCTGCTCTTCCTTCTATGCTCTTTTATCCTCTGTCCCAGGGAGTCTTGAATTTTCTCTGCCAGATGCAGAGCTGCCGTAGCAAAGGGGGAGCGTTGCTGCCTACAGTAACGCATAGATGGTTCCCCTTATTGTGGACAGAGGGAAATGGGGAGCTGAGTCTGGGGACCCCCACTCCACGCCCCTATCCCAAGCCAATGCTTTATACACTGGAAATACTACACAGAAGAGGAGAACAGCTGTCTTGAAAGAAAGCAGCAGCTATAGCTGTGTTTTGGAGGAGACTAATTCTCTAAGCTTCTTCCATGTGTCTTCTGAGAAGGTTTTGGGAAGGTGCTGCACCCCCTGCACTGGGTCTGTGGGTGACAGGCACTGCGCTTGAAGGAGTCCCATATCAGCATCACTCCATTTAAGTGGTTCAGCCTTCTGTGATAAAATTGTCCTGCTTTTAAAGATTTCTGCTTACTGAATGTGTATTTGAACCTGTTGCTTGTCCAGAAACATTCTTCCTGTTTCTTCAGGATTAGAAAGATTCTTTAAAGTAGAAGGAAAAATAGACACACACAGAGGCTAAAAAAATGCAACATCCACCAATCTTGGAGCCAAACTGATCGGAAAGAAGTGTTTATGGCTCTGAATTTGAAGGAGCTGGAGATCATCTTAAGTGTCACAGCAAAAAGTTTTTTTTTCAGAAAATGCCTATAAACTTCTTCCTTATGAATGCACTGACAGAGAGAAATCCCCCAATATTTGCCATCCCCCCAGTATTTGCCATGTTAGACTAAACAGCAGTCAAATTGCTTGAAAAGAAGCTGAGGGTGAATTCATTACTGAGTGATGGGTTTGCTGAACTCCTCTGCAAGTTCAGGGGTGACGGAGCAGAGCTGCACTGTCTGGGATACAGAAACACAGCAGCAATTTTTGACAGCTGACAAACCTGAAGTTGCCAGATGTCAGGGAATTATTTCAGGACACACAAATGCTCTTTTCTCTTTCATATGTGATTGCCATACATGTGCTGTTCTTTGCCTTCAGGCAGAGCGAGGGGAAGAGAAAAGGTGTTCCAAGCTGGTGGCTGGATGCAGCCTGACACGGATAATTATCGCAGCCTTTATCGTTTGCTTGGTGCTTTCATGCTGAAGAATGACGCCTCTGCAGAATAGCGGCAGAGCTGATCTAAATTTTAGGTAATTCTCTGGTGCTGCTTTTTTCTCGTTTCTCTTCTCAAAATGGCTTTATTGAGTGCTTATTAGAGCAGCGACCAGCACACACACCACCATTAGCAGAGCACTAACAGCAGCATCCCTGAGACAGGCTGCTCCTCTCCAAAGGCACTTGAATTTGCCATAGAAACTCTTCTCCATCGTCTAACCTCTGCAGGGCATATAGGGCTCTCCTAGCCATTCAGTCTTGCTGTAGAAGTTCATCTTGGATGCTATTTTGACTCCATGGGTAATCATTTGGAGCTTTGCCACTGACATGAAAAAAGCCAGGATTTCATCTTAGACATTTCAAAATGTATATTTCTTCTCCCAGTACAAGAAGGCATAATTATGTCTGTGTTTGCTGAAAGCGTCAGCTGAAAGAGAAAGCCCAAGATCTCTCTGTCTCATGTAAAGAGAATTCCAAGTCAACTGCATGGCTTTCATCACCTTCTGTTTAATCAGACACCTCGGTATGAATCTGATAGAGCCCCAAGACTATGGGCTTCTGGGTTCTCCCAGCACCAAATGTCAAGTTCAGACTACCCACCATGGTGCTTGAGACAGACCAAGGTGCCTCCTGTAGCACTGGACTAGCTCTCCTGAACTGCTGTAAATTAAAATATTATGGAGGTGGGTCAGTCCCTAATCATCCTCCTCTCTTAAAGCTGTATTTCTTCCTCCGATTGATTGACTGACTGATTAACATGATTTTAAAAATACAACTTAGTAGGACTCCAGTAGGGTACTGTAGCCATCACTGAAGTTGTTTAACATCCACCTGGACATCATCCTTGAGCACAGAAACAGTCCTAACCTGACCAGGAATTTCTGTGCTAATTCATGAGCTCTTTCGTGTCCCAAAGAGTCTATTAAAAAGACTTTCTTTCTTCCTGAATTGCCACTGTATATGTTATTTTACATTTCTGCAGTGCTTGCTCACTGGCATGGTCTGGCAGCCTGATTAGGTAAATCAGAATAAAAGAATTGCTTTCCACCACACAAGCAGCAGACTCTGATGCCTGCAGATCCAAAACCCAATACTCCTTACCTGTCAGCACTGTCAGGTCTAAACATTAACAAAGACCAAGGACATTAATTTTTTTTCATATTGGGCCTGTTTAATAAACCGTTTTCTGACTGAAATGAAGCATGAGGTCTTTCCCTCCATCTCTCAGAGGTGGTATTTGGGTGGAAGAAGACAGGGAGAACATAGACATTTTGGTTTTGGCCCTTACCACATCTGTAAGGACATGCCATGGTCTCTTCCTTGCTGCGTTGTGGGGGATGTTGTGCCATGTCCTGCCGCAGGTCACCTGGTGCTAGTGACAGTCCCACTTCACTCCTGTGTCCTTTTGGCAGAGATTAATTGACTTTTGCTGCCATGAAGTTGGCTGCTGTTCCAAACCTCCTCGGCAAGCAGGACAACAGGGATTTTCAACACAGCTTGGGTGGAGTGGTGGATACAGAATAATAGATCGATTTTCCCTACCAAAAGAAGGCTAAACCTCAGCTTTTAAATCTGCCCTTTTCTCCTTCCCAATGTGCCAGCCCCTTGCTGTGACTGTCCTGGGAGCATCACTTCCAGGTGTGTTTTGGTCTGTGATCATCATGAGAAGGGCAAGGAAAAAATTTTGACCTCACTTCACATCTGTGCTAGAGATGAAAAGTGAAAATATCCAGAATTCAGTCACATCTGAATAGATACGAGTACAAAAATTTTCTAAATTCCACCTATTTCTTGAGCACTTTGCCAATTTTTAAAATCCTCTTCCTTTTGCAGACTGAACTCAAAAAGTTGTGATGTTCCTGGTGCATATTAG